CGGAAATGAAATTTTTGTATTTTTGTTCGAAAAAGCTGATACTTTTTTTTACACAGACTGCGTCCAAAACTTGTATAAGTTTAAACGTCTGGTAGCTTACGATCTTGACAAAGTATCACAGAATTCATGGAGCACTAAGGATGAGAAAGATGGTATAAACCGCACCTGGAAGATACCATTAAAATAATGAAAGTCGCAGTAGGGGGAAGGCGATGGTACCAGATTTTACACGAAGAGCACTACAGAATAATTCCTAGAAAGAAATATGTGTTGGCGAACTCCATTTTGGAAAGGAAGCTATCTACTCAGAAACAGTTTTACTTATGAAATTATTTCTGGATTACTGAAGTTAAAACTTTGAAAAAACTGAAAACATCCGAGAGGAAATTTTATAAGGATCAGGTGTTGTTTCATCGTTGCGTTTCCTTTTACCACTGTTGTAGCGCAACTTCATTTTTCACTATTTTGAGCCTCTCTCATCCACATAATTCCAGATAGCCGCTCAAGCGAATCCTTACAAGGGAAACTTGGTAGAGGGAGGAGGGTCTGAGAAACAAAGTATTCCATTCATTATTAAAAAATATAATTATTTTTAAAAAACATAATTAATTTACAATCATGCGTTCATTATGATGACCGTTGGAGTAGGTAGACGTTAAAGTGGCGGCGCATTTTTCGGCATACCACGGAAAGGTACCATCTTCGGTAACGCTTGATACCGAGAAAGTATAGATACTGTCCATGTAGCCATCACAGTCGCAGTCATCATCTTTCATTCCACCATTTCCCGATGCCCATACATAAATTACGCCTTTTCCTCCACGTCCCTGCAAAAAATATTGCAGAAATTTACATTCAGAAGGTTTTTACAATAATTACTTTTTTTAAACGAATTACTGTAATTAAGAATACTTGCGCACCAGTCCTAATCAGATGTTTTTTGGCAAGTTTTCATCTGCAAAAACGGGATTTCAGTTGCTCAAGCAGCTGCACAGAATTTTATTTTATGAAAATAAAGTCACATCATAACTCCCGAATTCAAGCACATACAATTTGGCATCATACAATCCTGGCTGCGAAGCAGAAATCCGAATAGTTTAAAAGAGTGAAATATCTAATAAGATTGCTTGAAAATTATATGTTCTAATGGATCAGGTAAGTTCGCAGTCTCTGTTTTATCCTTGGCCTTTGCTTCAGTAAATTTTATTTCTTCAATCGTCAGATGCTGCATAAGTTCGGCTGCCGTTACAATTAGATTTTTGTCGAATCATCAGTAGAAGTCACTTTACAACGTATATAATCAAAGCTGTAGAATATTAAGTTCACTGCACGTTATATTCTTTCATTAGTTCCCACTTTTTTAGTTTATTTCCATTACTGCATTTTCTCTTATTGTACAGCAAATGCGGACTTCAAATCAGTGTGCTTCAGACATGAAATCTAATTACTGAACTACCTGCTACATTAGGTTTTAAAAAATTAGTGCCTGATTTTACTAGCCAAATATTGAAAAGACCGGCACTGGAATGAATTCGCATAAGTATTCAGATGAAGTTATATGAATGTGGTAGGCTCAAAACAGAGAAGAATGGAGAAATTGCCAGATGCATCAGTGGCGAGATGGAATGCGGCGATGAAACAACTGTGCGTCAAAGACTTACTTGTTGAATGCCTTTGAGGATAGCTTTTTGTGCCAGTCGTCCAGGTCCCTCTACTGTTTTTCCATCATCAGTTGGTCCCCAACTGGCCGAAAAAATATCTATATGATCGATGTTATAACTTAACGCTTCGGCTTCAATACGATCGGTCACTTTACCATCCAACATTCGAATACCTAAATGTACGTTTTTTTTTTATTTTGATACCTTTATAAGCATATTTTTTGATGCCTTAATACATTGGTTAGTTGCAAATTTCACAGTGCGTTTCTTTGACTATATAGCTGACAAGTTTTCCGGCTATTTTGGCTAATGCTGTATCGTTTGATGGCCAACTAGTAGATATTCATAAGAAAATAGAAAGTTAATAAGTATTTCAAAGACAGTGGGATAAGATTTTTTAGTTTCCAGACTTACTGTTTTAATTATTTTAAAATTAGTGCTTTAACAGGTTTGTTTTAATTGTTTTAAACCAGCAAAAACACCAAGCAATATTAAAGGGTGCGGAAGCGATCGGTTTAGAAATTCCATGCTAGTAAACTGGAAACCTCAACTTCCTACCCGCCCAGTCTAGTAGCTATATCAGGCCCTTCGGCCCTAACATTAATACCCACGGCTGTGCTATCGATGAGAGCTACCCCTAAAAGAGTAGATACTTTAAATTACTTCAAAAAAATTACTAGCGCACTGAGTTATTTTTTGCTACTCAAAAAAAATTTAAAAATATTTCTAATTTCCATCGACAATTTTTATAAAAAAAATTATTAAATCCCTTTTCAGTTCTTAAAAATCCCATTGATAATTTTATCAAATTTTCAAAATCTATTGATAGTATTAATGAAACAGTAAAAATGACTTAAACTGCTGCGGATTGCTAATACGTTTTGAGATGATACCTCCAACTTTGGCA